CCCCCCCCCCCCCCCCTCCAAGAAGGCAAGCGGAACACACACACACACACACACACAGAGAGAGAGAGAGACAAGCCTCACCGCTTTGCGCTAAGCTCGCCGCGCATTGTGCTCACCATATTGTTGTACCGCATCACATCCGCCAGCTCCTGCCGCTTGGCCTCCAACATTCTACCGCCCTCATTCACACGATACTCCTCGTAGTTCGGGTACATGGGCTTGAGCCGCTTGTACTGCGCGTAGTTCGCCCACGTGACAAACAGTGCAGCAACGGAAAAGTACCACGCGTACGGCCGCGTGCGGCAGCTGTGCTTCAGGTCAAAGGTGCGAATGCTGCGCGCCACCCTCAGCGCAAGTGATGGCATCGCGGTACGTCGGGAGAAGGGGAGGTAGCGCGCCGACCTTCTTGTTCTTCTCTTGCCGTTGGGCTGGTGGCGCATACGAGGGAATGGCCATGGCCGACGAAAAACAAGAAAAAAAAAAGAAAAGCGAAAGAAAGAAGAAAGAAATAAGCAGGGCGACCACAACGATGCAGGGGAAAAAAGGGAGGAAAGCACAGCGCTGATGTGGGAGCGTATGAGTGGGTGCATGCCGCCTGTGAGGGACTCCACCGGATGCTCCGTTGTTATGGCCAGCAGCCGCACTACACCTCCCCACGGCACCAATGAATGCCCCAGCAAGGAATGCGTCACGCGTTGCGTTGCCACCCAACACCCGCTGCTGGTGGATTCCCTTTTCTTTTTCTTGTTCCTCTCTTCTTCCATTTCCTCACATCCTTTTTTTTTCCTTCCTTTCTTCTTTGCATCCTCCCCCCTCCCCTTCCGCACCGGTGCTCCCCGTTCAGCGCGCGGCCCACGACGCGTGCGTCAGTGGAAGGCGACGCCCTGGCTGTACTCCTTGTAGCTCGGCGGCGTGCTGTCGAGCCAGTCCATCGCGTTCACCGGCATGAGGCCCATCCAACTCAGCTTCACCAACGCCACGGCGAAGGCGAGCAGGCTGGCGCCGATGTAGACCAGCTTCGACTGATTGACGGCGCTGCGGATGGTGGTGTCCTTCTCCGCCTCCTCGCTGAACTCGTTGAACACGTTGCCGGTGCCCAGGATGGACTGCAGCGGGTTCACCACGGCCATGCCGACGAACATGATGGAGAAGATGCTCACCTCATTGCCCACCATCCACATCATGAAGAGCGTCATGGGGAGCGATTTGAGTGGCTGCATGCGCAGGTCGTTCAGGCGCCGGTGGATGCGCATGTGCTGCACGTCGCGCTCGCTCAGCTGGGAAGCTGGCTTGCTCATGCTTCGATTCCCGTTGATCCCTTTCTCAGAAGAGGAGCAATGACGATGATAACAGTCGAGAGAGACAGAGAGACAGCTAGGAAGAGTCGGAGAGAAGGGCACACAACACTGAGCACGTGAAATTGCATACAACAGGAATAAACCAACCAAAACACACACAATCAGAGAGAGAGAGAGGGAACCAAATAAAAAAAAAAGGAATACAGAGAAAATCAATGACAGCCATGCACACAGTGATCATCTCACAAACGTACACACAGACACACGGGCAACAACACAGGCCCAAGGCGTATGGCTACACACCTCTGCTACAAGCAGGAAGACTATGGCCCCACCACTTCAACTTCCACGCGGGCCGTACTCAGATGCACTGCTCCCACTTTCCCCACCCCTCCCTAAACCCCCCAAAACGGCACGCCGCCAGGCATAGCCCTCATCGGTACTAACAACCCTTCTACATCCTCCCCCTCAGTGCCTACATGCTATCGTGACCCATACTAAAACGGTCCAAAACGCTTGTTACCCGGGACTTCGGCCAAGTTGCTGTCGTACCTGTACTTCTTGGGGCCTACAATGAACCAGTAGAACAAGAAACCGATGAGGCCGCCAATATATCGCGCGGATTTAAAGTCAGATACCATGATAACGTCATCAATAGAGTTGCGGAACCGCCAGCGACCGTACTTCTGCACGTTGCAAATATTGTTTGCCCACGATCCAAAGCAGAGGACACAGCCAGTGCACATGACAAGAGACGACAGAACACCAAGCACACTGTGAAACTCCCGCACAGTCGAACAATTGGTGGTTGGGACGAGCGCCCGTGGTGTGCTGCGAGACGACGCGGCAGCTGCACCAAATCGACGGATCATTGCTATGCTAAATTTTACTTGTTTCAAGGGATCGAGTCTCTCGCTCTCTCTTTCCTTTCCTTCCTTCCTTCCTTCCTCCCCCGGGTGTGTACTAATAGGCAAGAGCTCTTCACGTCGGCCAGCAAAGGGCAGGTGAAGACGGAAAGAGGATTAGTCGAAGGCACACGAACGATGCTCAAAGATGAAAGCGAAAGAAAGAGAGAAAGACAAGAGAATATAAATAAATAAATAATATATAAATAATATATATATATATAGTGCGAAATATAATCATAGTAACAATAAGCATCATCAAAGCACCGCCAGGTCATGCATCTCACTTGTACATCCACCCGCAGCGTATTCCTGCAAGCCCTCCTCCGCCTCAACGCGGAGCGACTAGCCCTTCTCATCGGGCGCGCGGCTGAACATGGCAGCCTCGTAGTCCTTCGGGTACCGCGACAGTTCATGGGCCATGGGCAGCAGCAGTGTTTCCGCCAGGGACATACTCGCAGAGCGCCGGGCATCACCACGTGAGCTGCGGGCCAAAGCACTCTCGCGCTTCAGCACCGCCAGCCGCAGCCCACGGCACGCTCGGCACCGCTGACTCGACGTGAGGCTTGGAATGAATATGCACGTCTTGGCAATAATGTACTCCCACATCTCCTCGGCTGTATGCGAAGTCTTCCCATCGACGATCATAGAGCGCCGCTCTGAGGTTTCCTGCTTTTCTGCTGCTGGTGCTGCAGCCGCCACCGTCTCCGTGTTTCTTGCCGCTTCGTCAGCGCCCATCGTGGTGAGGGCCTCGAGGTTTTGCAGTGCCTGACGCCTAGGTCGAGGAGCGCGGGACAGGATGTATGGTGGGAGCCGCGAGAGTGTCGCCATGATTTGCACATAGTGAAACGGATTCACGAAACGAGCGTCCTTCCGCTGCAATGCGGTGCAAAGCCCCCACACAATACGATCCATCG